CTGACCTTAGAGACTTTGTATTTGTTCTTTCTTTCTTAACTTTCCTTAGTCAGAATTTGAAAAAGAAAATGCTTTTCTGGTGAAAAGCGCTAGGTAAGAGCAAGAGGATGCTATTAGTATTGCTCTCTGCAGACTGGAAAATGTAAGAGATAATGAGCCAGATATGGAGTTATGTCAATTCACACCTGCTGAGGATCTGACCTGTTGTTAATAGTGCTTCAGTGCTTCTGAAGTAATGAGATTCATTGCCAGTATATAATTTGCAAATCCATGCCATCGTCTCTAGTCATTTTGCAGGCTGGCAAAAAAAGAAATGAGGGGGGAGGACGGGTCACTGAGGTCGAAGGAGGGAGAAAAATAAAATACAATAAAAAAGTATTCAGAAATGGAAAACCTCAGTCTGCTATGAGCATTTTCTGAAACTGTTTATTGTAGAAGGTTTCAGAATAAAACCTTCTGAAATGGTTTTCCTCTTTTGAACATGGAAACCATGGCTCCTCTTTTGAACATCTACCGTAGCTTTGAGATTTGCAGAGAACTCCCTAGATAGGACTCTGAGGCCTGGTCTATACTACAGCAGAAGGTCAATTTAAGACATGTGATTACTGCTCCATTAATTATGAAGCCGGAGTCGACGTAGCTTAAGTCTCATTTCCACGCCATCCACACAGCGAGACGCCGACAGGAGCAAATGCTCCCATTGGATTCCTTTACCCCTTGTGAGGAGCAGGAGTACTGGCGCTGATGAGGATGCCCTCTGAGTTCAATTTAGTGGGTCTTCCCTAGACCTGCTAAATTGAACTCCGGAAAATTGACTGCAGTAGAGTTGATCTTCGCAGAGTGTAGACATAAGGGGTGGAGGAGCCTGACATAAGGGGTGGAGGAGCAGATTGCACAGACTGGCAGATGATGGCTACTTTGCTTTCACTTTAAATTCACATTAAAGGCTAATGGCCTGGACTTCTTTAATTGACCCTGCCTGACCTACACTACCCCCGTATTCAGAGAAGTAATTTAGGCAGGCTTCAGCTCGGAAATTTGGCCTTGAACAATCACTGCTGCAGTGTCTGGGATTGCTGCTTCTGGACTAGTAGCGCATTTAAACCAGGCTGCCTACAAAACTCGTTTTACTGGATCATAGTGAAGGTTCCCTCATACGCTCTGGCCAATCTAGTAACATTCAGCGGCTTTAACCATGATTTCAGTGGCCTGGCAGAAGTGATGCCATGTAGCCGGAGCTTAGCCGTGAATCTGGCCCTTTATCAACAGTGTACGATTGAGGTTTATCTCCCATTTCCTCCATCTTGCTCAGATTACCTCATGCAGCTTTGTCTCAGTGAGAGGCCGTAACTGCATAGTCCTTGCTCAGGAAAAGCTCCAGTGACGTGTGTTTTGCCCACGTAAAAACTGCAAAAAACGGTCCATGCGACACCACCTTTAGGAGACGTGAGAATGATACATAGTTAATCCACGACAATGCGCATGTGGGATCTTGTTTGGCAGTGTCACCAGGCTCTCACGGACCAGAGAAGGTGAGCCCAGTCCAGCCAGTGAAAGACGGCTGGGCTACACCTACCTCTAAAGGGCTGCTAGCAGGCAGCTGGGAGAAGGGATGAGACAGGCTGTGCCCCGGGGAGGAAAAGCCCATGCTTCAGCAGTAGGTCCCTACAGTAAGGAAGGGACCCAGGGTTCAGGGAAGCAGCCCTGGGTCTGTTGCCCCCACAAGGGTGTAGGGATGACTCGAATGAGGAAGGTGTGAGGTGCTGGCATACCAGGGTGGACCTACACTTCAATTAAAAACCCACGACTGGCCCACATCAGCTGACTCAAACTGAGCTAAGGGCCCCCTCCAGGGTCTTCCTGGTTTATACACTTGCATGAGTCAACAAGTGGACTGTGTAGGAGACACCTCCACTCCCTCTCCACTGGCCATTACAACCTTCCATGCCTAGCTTCACAGGGACCTCCATGGGCAACCCTGCCTAAACTACCAACAGCCATAAGGCAGCATCAGTAGCCCAGCTCTCCCTGGTTCCAGTCCTCCAAGCTCTCGTTGTGACACTTCTAATATCTTCCACATTCCCTTCCCCTGGTGGTTTCTTTGATGCAATGAGTTTATAGAAAACGCTAACAAGATTTTTTACAGCCTCTAGTTACTGCTATGTGTGTACAATTAGCAGCCATTGTGAACTGCCTACATTACACATTTATTAAACAGCCCATAAACATTACGAGTCCAACGCATTTGTACATTTCCTCCCCTTTCTTTGCAAGCCCAAGTCGGAAAAGAATAAGAAGCGGACACATCCTCCATCCTAGCCCATCACTTACATTTTACAGGAATGACCAGAAATGAATTTCTGACACTTTATTTCTCACTGTAATGGAGAGACGCAACTATTTCATAAGCCATAGCACCACAATGGCTTCAAATATCATTTTAGAATAACCATGACGTTTAGAATAACCATGACCATTAAAACTTTCTCCATTGTAAGCAGTTTGCAAAGCTGAGAAGCGTTCAACTGCATGACAAACTGAGAATTCTATTCCTCCATCACCCATCAGTGCCTTCCTTCAGCCCAATTAAAACACCGCTTTTATGCGGACAGTTCTTAATTAGAGGCTTGCGTGGAGTGCAAGAGCCATTGTAGATTAAGAAGGTAGTTTTTACATTTCATCCTTTGACTTCAGTTCTTGTTCCCACTCCCACATAAAATTAGCTCTGAACCTAAGCAGAGCTGAACTAGAAATCTTACATTTCTTCATTCCTTAAATACACACAAAGATCATTAAGTCTCCTCATCTTCAAACACGTTAAAAGCCTTAACTCCATCCCTTCCTACCATGATCAGCAACAGCCTTGGAAACCCTCCTATTTAAGGCTCATAATTTTTATACTGCTTCAGGACTAGTTGATAGTATGGTCTGTTTCCCTCATTGGCATACCGCTGACTTACATCTGCTGGGAACCTAGCCTGCTATTCACAGCTGGGTCTAGAATGGAAGTCAATAGATTATAGCTCTTCAAATGGTCTCATAGTTCTCTGCTTTGGAAGATGTTTTGTATTGAAAGTTTGAATTTGGGAATAAAATCGCATCATTTTTTAGAAAAAAAAAACATTCACGCTTTCCCCCCTCACTTTTCAACTGTGGGGCTGATCATAACATTTCATGGACAAACTTTGGGATTCTACAAAAAAGGGATGAAACTTGAAAATTGGCATGAACATTACATATATATTCTGCAGAAAAGGACCTGGGGATTACAGTGGATGAGAAGCTGATGAGTCAACTGTGTGCCCTTGTAGTCAAGAAAGCAAATGGCATATTGGGGTGCATTAGTAGGAACATTGCCAGCAGATCTAGGGAAGTGATTATTCCCCTTTATTTGGCACTGGGGAGGCCACATCTGGAGTATTGCATCCAATTCTAGGTCTCCCACGCCCACTATAGAAAGGATGCGGAGAAACTCCAATGGAGGGCAATAAAAATGATGAGGGGGGCTGGAGCACGTGACATACAAGGAGAGGTGGAAGGATTTGGGCTTGGTTAGTCTGCAGAGGAGTGAGGTGGGATTTGATAGAAGCCTTCAACTACCTAAGGTACATCTAGACCACAGGCTTTTGTCAACAAAGCTTCTGTCGACAAAGAGCGTCTAGACTACAACCAGTTCTGTCGACAAAGCAAGCCTCTTTGTCAACATTAGAGTGTAGACGCAAAGGACAGTGTAGATGCAATAACGCCTTCTGTCGACAGAACTCTTGGACAACGGTGGGACTGAAAATGCAACGTAACACGAGTCATGTGCTAAGTATTGACAGACATCCTGTGCTAGAACAAAGGCTCACACTGCTAAACTGGAGAACACAAGCAGATACAAGAGATATAAGAAATTCATCTGAAGATGCCATAACAGCATTTTCAATAGAATCGAACATACAATAAAATGTGGCATTTCCAATGGCCATTTTGCTGGACATGACCACAGAAGTGTTGTGTACCGATCAATTTGCTTTTTTAATGCTGTCCTTTGCCGAGTTCATTCTGGATCCAGGTTCGGGTCTCTAGTCCAGCAGTGAGGCGAAAGAAGCAGGTGCCATTTGATATAATGTGATGTAATACTAAATCAAGGCTGAGCAGTAGGGTTTGCCAGATGCTGCATTTGAAATCCAGATTCTCAGCTTGCATAAATCAATGCAGTTGTTCCTATTTGTTGGTTACCGTGTCAGGGTGGTTAAACACTGGAATAAATTGCCTAGGGAGGTTGTAGAATCTTCATCACTGGAGATATTTACAAGCAGGTTAGATAGACATCTATCAAGGATGATCTAGATGGTGCTTGGTCCTGCCATGAGGGCAGGGGACTGGACTTGATGACCTCTCGAGATCCCTGCTAGTTCTAGTGTTCTATGATTCCAATCATGCCATGCCAGTTTACACCAGCTTCATATGGTTCATATGGTAGAAATCAATGTATACCTCTCATGGTAGCATTCTGAATCAGAAGCACTTATTGATTTAATTATAGGGAAGATTTGGAGATATAAATGTTAGAAGCATATCATTTCTGGAGGAGGTATAAATTGTTGAAATAAGTGTTTTTCCTGCTGGAAAAAATGGGACTTAATAAAAAATGTTTTTCTTTGTTGATGATTTGTTTCTAGATGGGAAAATATTCCTTTTTGGCAATATTTTTCAACAGAAAATATCTAAAACACAAACAAATTGTTATCAAAACTTTGACTTACATTGCAGAATTTCAGTCATTAGCAATGGGTCCTATTTCTCACTTATTTCATTATTATAGCAAACAGTAAAATTGTCAGATACATAGATGTCGTAAAGAATAGAATTTCCAGATACATAGATGAATGTAATTTCTTGAGGAGGAGTCAACATGGTTTTTCTAAAGGAAATCATGACTTACCAATCTACTAGATTTGTTTTAGGTATTCAACAAGCATGTGGACAAGGAGGATCCAGTGGATATAGTATACTTAGATTTCCAGAAAGCCTTTCACGGGGTCCCTCACCAAAGCAAAGTAAGCTGTCATGGGGTAAGAGAGAAGGTCTTCTCTTGGATTGATACCTGATTAAAAGATAGGAAACAATGGATAGGAATAAATGACCGGTTTTCAGAATGGATAAAGGTTAATAGTGAGGTCTCCCAGGGGTCTGTTATGGGACCAGTCCTATTCAACATATTCATAAATGATCTGGAAAAAAGGAGTAACCGCAAGGTGGCAAAATTGTAGATGATACAAGATCGTTAAGTCCAAAACAGACTCTGAGGAACGACAAAGGACTCGCAAAACTAGTTGACTGGATAACTAAATGGCAGGTGAAATTCAGTGTTGATAAATGCAAAGTAATGCATATTGGAAAACATAAACCCAACTATAAATATAAAATGATGGAGTCTAAATTAGCTGTCACCACTCAAGAAAAAAGATCTTTGGATAGTTCTCTGAAAACATTCACTCAGTGTGCCGCAGCTGTCATAAAAGCAAACAGAGTGTTGGGAATAATTAAGAAAGGAATAGATAATAAGATGGAAAATATCACATTGCCTCTATTTAAAACCATGGAAAGCCCACATCTTTAATATTGTGTGCAGATGCGGTCATCTCCTCTCAAAAAAGATATATTGGAATTGGACAAGGTTCAGAAAGGGCAACTAACATTATTAGAATTATGGAATCACTTCCATCTAAGGTGGGATTAATAAGATTGGGACTTTTCAGCATAGGGACGACTAAGGGGAGAGATGATAGAGATCTATAAAAACATGACAGGTTTGGAGAAAGTAAATAAGGAATAGTTATTTATTCCTCATAGCACAAGAAATAGGGATTACCAAATGGAATTCACAGAAAGCCAGTTTAAAACAAACAAAAAGAAGTATTTTTTCACACGATGCACAGTCAACCTGTGGAACTCCCTGCCAGAGGATGTTGTGAAGTCCAAAACTATAACAAGATTAAAAAAACCTAGATAAATTCATGGAAAATATATCCATAATTGGCTATTAGCCAGGATGGGCAGGGATAGCCAGTCATACCCTATGGGTGTCCTGTAAATAATTGGCTTTGAGTCACAGATGTGGCACCCAAAGATCCTACCTCAAATGTCTGCCAATTCCAAACCAATGTTGTACGATGCTCCAGAAAGTGTTGTCCAGCCCAGACATCACAGTCAGACTTCAGCATTGTTTGTTTGGCTTTTAAATTAGAAACAGTCATCACTGCAGGATCTGGCATGCCAGAGAAAGGCTTGGAGAAATGGCCATATATTACTAATTATATTAATTCAAGGGCCTTTTCACAGTCTATAATTAAATGTTCTCAGGGCTGAATACTTGCTTTTATATTTGGTCTTTTCTGTAGGTGCTAAGGTTCAGTATTGTTTTGACCAATCCATTGCTTGTTCTACCTCTGGCATACTATATGCATGTATTATTCATTCCCACAACTTGTTTTTCCCAACTCAGACAGAAGATACGCAAAAACGGGCTCTGGATCTGCACTGAGGATCTCTCATCTGAGGGCAGGAATCAGAGCAGAATAGCACTGAAGCCCTCTCTAATTATGTTTAATACCCCTTCTCCCAGCTAATCTTCTGTATTGGGAGGGGTTGAGGCAACATTGGACATGTCACTGATCCAGGAACTTTTTTAACACACCGTCTTCTTACCATCAAGGACTCTGCAGAGAGAGAGGAAGAGGGGTAGGTCCAGGTTGGATTACAAGGTCCTGGAAAAGAGATCTCTTCCCCTACAGCAGTGGTTCTCACTTTTTTGTGCTGTGGTCTATCCCACTCAACACAGACTTTTCCAGGAACCACCAGCCAACCACCCATGATGACAAAATGGGGGCAGAAGGTGGGGGTGGGGGCATGGGCTCTGTCTGGAAGGTAGGGAGCAGAAACAGGCTGGGGGTGGGAGGTTCTAGAGGAATGTTGGGTGCAGGAGTGGGCTGAGGGTGGAGGGGGTCTGAGTGGGAGGTGGGGCAGGGGTGAGGATCTGGCCAAGAGGATGGGCACAGGTGCAGTCTGGGTGGAAGGTGGGGTGGGGATCTGGCCAGGAGGATGGGCAGAGGTGCAGCCTGGGTGGGAGCTTGGGGGTAGGAGCAGACTGAGGATGGGGGTCTGGGAAGGAGGGATGGGCACAGGTGTGGTCTGGGTGGGAGGTTGGGTGTAGGAGCAGACTGAGGGTGGGGGTCTGGGAAGGAGGGAGAGTGCAGGAGCAGGGTGGAGGTACAGGGGGTGGGTGAAGGGGATGGGAGTGTGGGGTCTGGGCATGAAAGAGATGGAGGCGCGCTACCTGGCTCCGTGTCTCTTGCCACTCTCATGCCCTGCCCCCTGCTGCTCCCATTAGCTGTGATTCTGGCCAGTAGGAGCAGTGGGGAAAGCCTCCAGGCCATCAGTATCCTGCACCGCCAACCCCACAGGTATGCGGTTTCCATTAGCCACTCATCATTAAAAGTCACATTAGGCCGGGTCCACACCTCAGGTGCTACAGCTACACTAACACACCGTAGAGACACTTGCTACAGGACCAGAAGGGAGCTTTCCGTCATGTCAGTAAATGCACTCCCTTGAGAGGCAGTAGCCAGACTGAAGTCAGAATTCTTTCATTGGCCTCGTGGTGTCTAGGCCATGAGTCAGGCCCTCAAAATCATGCAATGGGCTTACATTTTCAATTGGACCTTAGCTGGTTCACTTCACTGTCTACACTACTTAATAGAGGTGTGATTCCCAGCTCCACGGGGGCATGTTTGCACTAGCTCTCTGCTTAGGTTGGCTTAATTATGTCTTTCCGGGGGTCTGAATCTGTCACTCTCCTGAGCAATGGAGCAAGGTTGACCTATGTTTTAAGACTAGACCAGGCCGCATAGTGGTGGTGACAGAACCCAGAGAAGATTGGGGCACCATTGTGCTGGGCACAGTGAGAATTTGTCCCTTCTCTGAGGTGTTTATATTCTAAATGGAGAAGTCAAAGCAATGGAGAGAAAAAGGAAGTTTACTTTCTGCATTTCCTAGGGGAGGAAGGGAATTTCAGAGAGATTGAGGCTGTATCTACATGGGGAGGGAGGGGCTGTGATTCTCAACTTGAGTAGACATACTTGTGCTAGCTCCCATTGAGAAGCGTAGGCATAGTAACCGTGGCCTGAGCAAGCTGCCTTGTGTATAGATCCATGGAATTCAGGCAGGTTTCTACTCAGGGCAGCCACTTCTGTTTGCATACCAATCTGTCAAGGCCCCATCTATTGCTTTTACCACGAGACCATCCTAGTGAACACTGAAAAAAATGTTAAGTCCATTTTGCGGGGTCCAACTCATGGGTTTTGAATGCTTGGGACTGACAATACTGCAAATAGCAGAGGTACAGAAAAACTATTACAGGGAGAAATAGCTGTAGAGAAGACTCTTATACCAACAGCATCTTTATGGAGAGATGGAGACAATAAAGCCTGGTCTACACTGCAGCGGAAGTAGTTGATGTATCTTAAATCGCATTTCTCCGCCATCCACACAGCGGGAGGCCGGCGGGAGCAAACACTCCTGTTGGCTTCCCTTACTCCTCATGAGGAGCAGGAGTACTGGTGCTGATGGGGATTCCCTCTGAGTTTGATTTAGCAGGTCTAGACCTGCTAAATTGAACCCCAGAATATCAACCATGGTAGTGTGATCTTCTGTGTAGTGTAGACATGTCCTATCTGCAAAAAGAAATGTCTCTCTAGAAGCCACTATCATGTGGGATTTTAAAATCAGGGAGCAACTTTAAAACAGATCTTGAAATGAATGAGGCCAGGAAAGTGAGTTTTCTACTGTTTCTAATTCTCAGTATAATGTATTTTGCCTTTGGTAGGTAAGTATGGCAGTATTTATCCTAAATACAACTCCAGTTTGTCATGAGAACAGATTTGTTTTGCATCATATCCTTTTGAACTGGTTTCTTGGTGCTGAAGATGAATCAACTTATAATATCAGTGCTTGAATACTTTCCTGGCATCTGTTTTATTGACAAATATTTTTTAAAGGATGGTGAAATTAATCCGCGCTCATGACAATTCTTCATGCTAGGGCAGGAAAGATAGCGGTTGAGCATTAATCTGTGCTTGTGACAACCAAGACCTATCCAAACCAAATGTGGAATGCAAATAAAAGAAAGCAGAAAATGTGGAGAGAGCTCGAATTCCTTTTGGTGGAAGGACAGAAACGACCTATGGATTCCAAGCTCGGTTTCGGTTTTGCATGGTAATCGCTTCATTAATCACACCAGGGTCACTTTTAATTTATAGTGGTGAAAGGGAACTCAGTATCACAGGCATGTGTTTTGGGAGTATTTCCATTCTCTATTTGCAAATTCACATTTTGTACCTTAATAACTTAGTGGTTGTGTAGCTGGCTGATTAATTAATTAATGCTTGTCAACTTTAAATGGGTAGGACTGGATGCCCATCTTGCTTATACCAGATTCACTTTGGTTTAACTCTTATTCACTTCTGTGGATTTACTTCTGATTTGCACCAGCATCAGTCAGAGGAGGCTCAAGAACAGTGAAATATTACATGCTGGGCTATGTCTTCTCTGAACGGCAGGGATGTAGAGCTTCAGTGTAGACCCGCACTACAGTGACAGGAGGGACTCTTCTGTCATTGTAGTTAATTCACCTCCCTGACAGGCGATAGTTATCACTCTCTACACTAGGGGTTCAGCCATTTTAACTACATCACTCAGGAATGGGATCTTTCAGCAACATAGCTGCGTCAACCCAACTTTTCAGTGTAGACCAGCTCTGGGTAATTCTGCAACCTGCAGTTAGATCATTACTTAGATGTGGATGAGTGAAACAAGGCAGTTTGACAACTATTAATTACACAACAATGAAGGCATGAGCCCATTCTATAGAAGAGCAACATTATTTTAGACTCAAGTTGCCTCTCGTTTGGGCTTTTTATTGACGTTGGAATGTGGCGTAGGTGTGGAACTCTCCCAACACAGGTACAGAAGACACACCTAGAGGTGGACGGGTGTTGCATTGACTCGCCGCGCCTTCAGTTCATAAAACTTTAAAATCCTGAGAAGCTTAACAAGGTTTTGGGGGGGAGGGATAGCTCAGTGGTTTGAGCATTGGCCTGCTAAACCTAAGGTTGTGAGTTCAATCGTTGCAGAGGCCATTTAGGGATTTGGGGCAAAAAATGGTCAGGGATGGTGCTTGGTCCTGCTGTGAAGGCAGGGGACTAGACTCAATGACCTTTCAAGGTCCCTTCCAGTTCTAGGAGATAGGCAATCTCCATTAATTATTATTTGTTTTACATCCACACACCTCTTGCTTCACCTTGGATCATGATGTTGGCCCATGAATTATCCCGTTGAGCCCCAGCTTGAAGTCACTACATACACCATTGACTCTGACCAGTGTCAGGGTCGCTTGGGAACACTATCCTCTAACCAGCTGGAGGGCTGGGTAGATGGACAGCCAAGGGAGGAGAATTATCCTCTCCTGTAAACTTCAGTGCCACTCCTTGGGCTAGTCCAGCCCAGTTGCTGAAAAAGGCTTCAAGGCCTCCTATGTGGCCTCTCCCTCATGGGAAGACCCATATAGTGGCAGCTCCCCAGGACTTGCCCTCACTTCTTTTATGCCTTGTTTATGTCCCCACTTATTTACTTCTAGGAATTGCTAGTCAGGGAGCTGTGCAGCTCTCCGTTCCCCTTGGCACGGAGGATGCGCCCTAATTCCACTGCCAAGGGAGCCTCTGTGTTCATGGAGCTGGGAATAACATAAGAACGGCCAGACGGGGTCAGACAAAAGGTCTATCCAGCACAGTGTCCTGTCTGTCCACAGTGGCCACTGCCAGGTGCCCCAGAGGGAGTGAACAGAACAGAGACTTATCAAGTGATCCCTCCCCTGTCACCCATTCCCATCTTCTGACAAACAGACCCTAGGGACACCAACTTTGCCTATGCTGGCTAACAGCCATTGATGGACTTAATCTCCATGAATTTAACTAGCTCTTTTTTGAACCCTCTTAGGCTATGTCTACACTCACGACTTCTTGAGCGAGAAATATGCAAATGAGGCTAAGCGTGGAATATTGCTGAGCCTCATTTGCATACCTAATGAGCAGCCATTTTTGCAGAAGAGGCTCTTGTGCCAGAAGGAGCTGTCTATACTGCCCCTTATTGCGCAAGAAAAATCCTCGTGCGCAATGCTGCTACGCCGATTATAATAATATTAATATAATATTATATTAATATAATAATAAAATAATTATTTTCAGGAACAATGGCATTGCGCAAGAGGGTTTTTCTTGTGCAAGAAGGGGCAGTGTAGACAGCTCCTTCTGGCACAAGAGCCTCTTCTGCAAAAATGGCTGCTCATTAGGTATGCAAATGAGGCTCGGCGATATTCCATGCTTAGCCTCATTTGCATATTTCTCACACAATTAGGCACGAGTGTAGACATATCCTTAAAGTCCTGGCCCTCACAGCATCCTCTGGCAAGGAGTTCCACAGGTTGACTGTGCATTGCATGAAGAAATACTTTCTTTTGTTTGTTTTAAACCTGCTGCCTCGTAATTTCATTTGGTGACCCCTAGTCCCACTTCTAGGGATAGAGTAGAGGCTGGGACTCCAAGTCAGATACAATGAATAGCCAATGGTACTTCCCTGAGCTTCATTTCCATATTCCTCTCTGCTTTAGCCCTGCTGCAACAACTTGTGAGGCATTCACTCAGGAGCACTTTATCTGCCCAATTTTTTTGTCTCTTATTGATGAATTCACAGTAGGGTTTGAAACCCTCAGAGTAGGCCCTCTGACTAATCTCCAAGCAACTGTAAGGCTGCCCCCACCAGCCCCTCAGCCGCATCAGGGCAGGTGCTCCCACCAGACGCTTCAGACGAAGGTTTTAGCCAGGGGAGGAAACTTTTGTAATGCTGATGAATGGCCAAAGCTCCTGCAGCAGAGAACAGCTATGGGGGCAGAGAGGTGCCACCTGAGCCCTACACATTGCAAACCAGTCAGTGTTAACGGCGGGGGAAATCCCACCTCAGACTAACGGCTTTGGAAATGATCCAGCAGCTGGAATGAGATACCCTCTCTCTGAGGGAAGTCAGGGGGGGGGGAGGGGGAGAGAGTCCAGGGCCCATCGCCATGAAAACCTGCCTGGCTTCATGTGGCACATGAAATGAGAGGCTCCTGAAATGAATGCAGCCAGTACATTTGGGGATCTGGGTTGTGTCCTGGTCCTTTCCCACAGGATTGGCACATGTCCTTCAGGAGGAGGAAAGCAGTGCAGACCTATACTGAACTCCCTGTGACAAATTCAGGTCTGAGGGCTGCCGTAGGGGGGGAGAAAGGCAGCCTTGGGAGGTTACAAGAAACACTCCCTTGTTAACAAAGAGTGAGACAGTTAGGAGCAGCTAATGAGGAGGCATCTCAGGAAGATTAGGGATCAGCTGAGATAGGGCTACCTTGGAGCAGTTAAGGCCAGCTGACTGCACTCCAGGCCTGTTGGAGACCTTTTAAAAACCTCCCCTGTTAGGTAGAGGGGGAAGAGATTGACTTAGTCTGTCATGACGCTCTCCTCCTGTTTCTCTCTATCAGGCTAACCTGCTTCTGAGGAGAAAGCTGACTGCCCCAACACAACAGAGGCGTTTTTACCTGAGGCCCTTCTCACCAAGGGGAGAAGATCAGCGTCCGGCAAGGGTAAGAGGGGCCCTTCCCACACTTCCCTGCTGCAAAACACTGGCGCAGACCGTGCTCACATTGCTGTAATTCATAGAATCATAGAATAATAGGACTGGAAGGGACCTCAAGAGGTCATCGAGTCCAGCCCCCCGCCCTCAAGGCAGGACCAAGCTCCGTCTACACCATCCCTGACAGATGTCTATCTAACCTGTTCTTAAATATCTCCAGAGAGGGAGATTCCACCACCTCCCTTGGCAATTTATTCCAATATTTGACCACCCTGACAGTTAGGAATTTTTTCCTAATGTCCAATCTAAACCTCCCCTGCTGCACTTTAAGCCCATTACTCCATGTCTTTGACCACTCTGACAGTTAGGAATTTTTTCCTAATGTCCAATCTAAACCTCCCTTGCTGCACTTTAAGCCCATTACTCCTTGTCCTGTCCTCAGAAACCAAGAGGAACAAATTTTCTCCTTCTTCCTTGTGACACCCTTTTAGATATTTGAAAACCTCTATCATGTTCCCCCTTAATCTTCTTTTTTCCAAATTAAACAAGCCCAGTTCATGAAGCCTGGCTTCATAGGTCATGTTCTCTAGACCTTTAATCATTCTTGTCGCTCTTCTCTGTACCCTTTCCAATTTCTCCACATCTTTCTTGAAATGTGGCGCCCAGAACTGGACACAGTACTCCAGCTGAGGCCTAACTAGTGCAGAGTAGAGCGGCAGAATGACTTCACGAGGTTTGCTTACAACACACCTGTTGATACAGGTGTCTGACATGACTGTGCCATGAAGTTGTGAGTGAATAAAAAAAATAGCGGAGACAGAAATATTGACTGTCTGGCTACCCAGAAAGATATAGCCTGGGACTCTTACCCACATCTCTTCTCCTCCGACCCTCCACCCCGCCCTGCCCTATACAGCCCCAAGGGACTGTCCTCCGATGCAGCTTCTGAGGCCGTTTTCCTGATGGCTCATGGTATGCCATTCTGAGCAGCACAACTAAGCCTGAAGAAGAGAGCTTGACAGTTGGCTTCTTTCACCAACTGAAGTGGGGGCAATAATAGTTTTAGCCTCACCCACCTTGTCTCGCTGCGATGAAAGTCACTCAGGGCCAAATCACAGGAACGTCCGGAGATAGTCTGACTTGTCCTCCGCCTAAGAGGAGATTTTTTCTCCATTAGCTACCTGATGAGAGTGCAATCAGGGGTTAGACAGCTAAGTGACAGGAGCTGCCCCTGAACAATCAGGGAAGCCCGATAATAAAAATCTGCCCTGTAAAAATGAAAATAATTGTCAGTGCATCCACCTTTAAAAGTAGAAAACCATTTGTTATGCTTCTTTTCTTTTGTTCCTTCCCCTTTCCAGAACTGGAATAATTAAAATGTTTTACCAGTATTTTGCAGCCAGCACTCCAACCTTAGAAGGTGGGTCTCTGGCCAGTAAAACCTTTAGATGACAGCCCTTTACTATAAGATGTTTAGAAGCTCTTTAGTTTTGCTATAAGGTTTCCAACAGATCTAAAGATTGCCCACAATTCAGGGCGTTGTCTTTCATTAAAATTCCAGCTGGAATATAAATCTTTGCTAGAGTGCCCTCTCTCCCTTTCTCACTCCAGTGTTCACTGGCTGTGTACTATGTAGAGAGAACAGCAGCGCCTCAGAGGGTATAAATCAGCAGAACTCCAGGCAAGTCAGTGGAGAGAGGGATCTAGCCACAAATGCTGCAGTTGTTTTAGAAATTCCATCCTCTCCCTGAAAACCCTCCTGAGATTTTTACCAGCATTGCTCCCTCTCTCTGGTCCCAGTTCATATAGAATTACAATAAAAAAGGATATTTATCACCAGTGATTAAACCCGTTTCCGTGGGATTATAGAGTATTATCTGATGATGGTAGTAAAAGAGTCATCATCTAGTTTATTATCAGCCCAGATCCTATTTTGCTTTAATGTATTTGGAGCCTTCACCCTTAAGGTCAGATTCGTAGCTGGTATAGCTCCTCTGCAGCACAAAGCGCTACATGGATTCAGCGGTGCTGACTTCTCATTTCGCCCCCTCTACTGTAGGCCCTGTCCCACTCCACTCCCAGCCCTGCCTCTTCCCACCCACAATGGGCTCCCGGTTCAAGATCCAGGAGGGAGGAGGAGGAGGAACACTGCAAATCAGCTGTTCACAGCACTCTGAAAGCACTGGAAGGGAAGGGGAAGAGTTGGTTAGTAAGGGTGTGTCTAGACTACCTAGTTTTGTCGACAAAAGTGGACTTTTGTCAACAAAACTATACCAGCATCTACACTACCGCTGAGTTCTGTCGACATAACGTCGACAGAACTCAGCAGTTTTGTCGACGCTGGTATACCTCATTTTACGAGGCATAACACCTTCTGTCGACAGAACTCTGTCGACAGAAGGTGTTATTGCCTGTAACGTTGCGTCCAGACTACGGAGTTCTGTTGACAAAGCAGCTTGCTTTGTCGACAGAACTCAATGTGTCTGGACGCTCTTTGTCGACGGAAGTTTTGTCGACAGTATCTGTCGACAAAACTTCCGTCGACAAAACCCGGTAGTCTAGACGTACCCTAAGAGAGATGCAGGGGGAAGGAGGGGAGCTTGGTATCAGTGGGTGCTCTGCACCTGCTACTTTTTCCCCATGGGGCTTCAGCCCCAGAATACCCACAGTCTGCACCTCTGCACTGACTTACGTTATCTGATCAGCTGGCTCTGCAGTTCCTTGGGGACTAAAGAGAAGTTCTGTAAAGACAGCAGCACCTCTTGCTCTATGTAACCCCCATCTGTAAGTTCCTAGTCTGTCCATTAGTAGTGAATCACATTAGCCTTTGAGTTCATTGTGTATAGGTGCTGAAGTCAACGTCATTTATTATTTTATGTAATTCATAAGGAGCCCGTACCAAGCCACCTCCATCAGGACTGCTGCCCCGTTGTGTTAGGGGCTTTGCGCGCACACACACACACACACACACACACACACACTCCCTGCTCTGAAGAGCTCATTGCCAGGAATCAGGATCTGCACCAGCACCAGTCTGGAAGGAGGGCCCTGCAGCAGGGCCAGTGCAGCCAATCTAGACTGTATTAGGCTATGCTGTCGGATGGGTTGGAAGAATCTGAAGATTGGTACAGCAGCTACTCCAAGCCTAGGATAGCCCCCAAGCCAGTTCATTCCCAGCCTGCACATGCCCTACCTCACTCCTGGTTCAGACCCTCCACTCCAGTTTCTGACCCTGGCTCTAACCACTGGGCCTGACCACCCACATGACACTCTGGAATGGTGGGGAAAAGAGGAATGTGCTCAGAAGTTTGCCATTTTAATTGTGATTATATATATATATATATATATATAGCCTTGCATGTATTATTATAGATAGACAAAGTAAGTGGCATGTGTTCTCATCCTCCTTGCCACCTAGCCAATGTTACCTGGCTCAGTAGTTCTGAACAGGGTCTTCAAGGAAATGAGATACTGAAATTACAGCACAGCGTAGAAAGGATAATCCATACGGAAAGGGGAGGTACGTGGACAAAGGTGCAAAGATGAAAGAAACAGGTCACTGGCTTGTTGAGGCCATGGTCAGAAGTTACTGGTGGGGTGTCCTGACAGATATTCTGTTTGGCTCAATGTTGATAACTATTTGGCTGTGTGTGTGTGTGAGGCCCTGTCCATTGTGCCGCCTCTGAGCAGGTAGCCGGCACAGCAGACGCCGAGAATCAATCCCCACAAAGACCATAAAATTAGATAAGGTGTAAAGGCACCAGGCCCAGTTTACTATAAATTAAGCACAGTAATAGTTCCCTGGATCAGATGTCTAGGAATGTGTGTCCGTGACAATGGATTCAGCTCTGTCAGTGACAGGATTGCCCCTCTAAGGGTACGTCTACACTGCCGCCCTAGTTTGAACTAGGGTGGCTAAAGTAGGCATTCGAACTTGCAAATGAAGCCCGGGATTAAAATATCCCGGGCTTCATTTGCATGTTCCTGGGCGCTGCCATTTTTAAATGCCCCGTAGTTCGAACTTCCTGCCCACGGCTTCCTTGCAGGAGGAATAACAGTAGTTTGAATTAGGAGCTTTAATTCAAACTACCTAGTCCGTGTCACGTGTAGCCGCAGGCAGGTAGTTCGAACTACGGGGCATTTAAAAATGGCAGCGCCCAGGAACATGCAAATGAAGCCCGGGATATTTTAATCCCGGGCTTCATTTGCAAGTTCGAATGCCTACATTAGCCACCCTAGTTCGAACTAGGGTGGCAGTGTAGACATACCCTGAGATATATTTTTATATACAGATACAAATTGCATATCACTTCTGACGTATCCAGTTGCCACCTTCTGATGTACCTAGATACCACCCTTTGTACATGGTGGTTCAATCAAATCAGCACGATCCATCATGATGTCATTCTAGACCCTATCCTCAGCCTGGGTCAGTATGTTCCTGTTATTTGTGGGGAGTATGTTGGTACCAAGATGTCTCCTCACGAGATGTTCTGTTATGACCCCTCTGGAATGTGTTTATAGCCCGTGCCTAGTACCTCTTAAGTGAGAGTGTTTCTCATCTTGGCAAGTTCTGTGAGCAGGGGCCTGCCTCTTGCTCACAGCTTCACTTCTCTTAGTCAGCAAAGTCTGGACCATTGTTACCTAGGCCTCAGGCCTCACACCAGGCCTGTAAGAGCTTATGTTCCAGGCCCCCATCGTACTACAGAGGCTGCCATCGGTGGTAGGGTGCAGAGAGCAAGGGACAACATAAGCAACAAGAGTAGACAAATAGGGAGGAGTAGAATTGTGAAGGGTTTCAAGGGAGCTTGAACTTGACTACATGGAAAAGGAGAGCCAGCGGAGGAACTTAGAACATATGAATGGCCATACTGGGTCAGACCAAAGCTCCATACCTGTATCCTGTCTTCCAACAGTAGCCAATGCCAGATGCCCCACAAGGTCATCATCAAGGTCATCACCCTGTTGCTCATTCCCATCTTCTTGACTGCAGTGGGCGGAATGACATTATTAGGGATCTTCTCCAGGAAGACGAATTTCATTTTGAATGGACTGGAGAAGGGTGACTCGGTGAGGTCAGAGAGAAGACTGTGGAAATCAGGCTGGGGGATGGAGGACGGGACAGACAAGTCAGGCTAGAGAGAAGACTTGACTTGAATTCAGAAATATACACATGGAAAGGGCACTAGACTGACGTGGGTACAATCTGTTATTTTTGGATCAAGAGAAAAGTCAATATAATGGCTTTCAGGGTGTGGGGACTGTCCACAGTGATAGACAAAAGGAGATTAGGGAGGACTTGGGAGAAAACACCAGCAATTCAACTTTGGCCATGTTAAATTTGAGTCACAGGGACTGTTGAATATATGGGATTAAACTGTGTGAAACCAGTCAAGTAATCATCATTAATAATAAAGGTAATCAATGGCATGAAGATGGTAATGGAAGCAAATGAACTCATCCAAGAAAAGAGTGTAAGAGTAGAACCCAGAAAAGAGCTCTCAAATCACTTCGAGTGTAGAAGACAGGAAGGAAAAGGCATCTTAAAGAATAGTGATAGAAATGTAGCCGTGTTAGTCTGGGGTAGCTGAAGCTACATTGTCCTGCATTTTGCATCTTAAAGAGACACCGATGGAGTAGGCAGGAAAGGATGGATTTACCAGGGCCCGTGAAATATAAGTTGCTGAAAAAGGGATATGACTGATTGGTCTGAAAAGCAGTGGTCAAGATTATGAGGACAAAGTAGATGCATTGAGATTCTCCAGCCATTAGAGACTTCCAATATATTCATTCCATTTGCTGCTTTGGTCTCCAAATCTATCTTTGGGGATGACTGCAGTTTCCTCTTGATTTTTTTTCACTGTCAAATGCTGATTGCATATGGGATCTCTCAGGACTAGTTTCAGCAGAAGATTGGGTATTTGACCTTTTTGCTGAGTGGAAGATGGGTTTTCCGGCTCTCATGACACTAGACCTACAACATGCGCTGTTATAGTTTAATGTTCATTGATTCGCTTCAGACTCTTCTTAGCTCGGAAATATAGAGCAAGACAAGTCTCCTTAGAGTCAAGAGCTACTGTGTGTTTTTAATGTCAATGGAACTACTCATGTGCTGACATGCCTACTTAGATCAGAGCCTTTGCAGAAACAGGCTGAAACCAAAACCACCCACTGAGAATAT